TTTGTATCTCTTTTCTTAATATGCTAAGGGGTGTTAATTAGTGAGTTTGATAGTTTATCTATGTAGTAACCTTTAGCACAATTTTGTGATCAAATGATCTACGGAGAGAGTTGTATGATAAATCAAAAGTTTTGGTCAAAATTTTATATTATAATATATAATAATAATTTTTTTACTCACATGTTATTAAAAAAAATATTAATAAAGACTATATAGCTTTGTTAATAAAATTTTTTTCATAAAGTACCATGATTATAAAGTACTATTAAAGCATTAGTAAATATTCTTGCCAAAATTTTGAAGTATTCTTATAATTTTGGCAAGGGGGGTGTAATATTTCTACATCACGAAATTACTTTATTTAAAGTTAGAAATTATATACGAATTGTATTCTTTATACACGAATTGTATTCTTTAATGAGAATCTATATATATAGGCATACCACAAACATAAAGCAAGACACATAGTAAAGTTAATAGTAAAGATTTTTTTGAACAATTTCAAAATTATTGATTTGGAATAAATTTTTAATAAAAAACGTCTTCGCGCAAACTCTTATAACTTTTGCTATAAAAAAAATTTTTTTTAAATTCTGTAACTTGGATTTTCTTCTTTAAACACGTTTTTTGAAGCTATAATCGCATATTTTAAATATTTTAATTTTTATTATTTTGTAATTATTAATTGATAGTGATAAATATTGATACAGTACATAGCTTAATAAATACTAGTTAGCGATACTGTATAAAAAAAAAAAAATTAAAATATTTAAAATATGCTGTTATTACTTCATAAAGACGTGACGTGTTTAATGAATAAAATCCAAGTTACAGAAAAAAAAAAAAGAAATTATATAGCAAAAGTTTATAAGACGTTTTTTTATTAATAATTTATTATAAATTGATAATTTTGAAGTTTTGATTAAAAAAATCTATTAACATTTACTATATGTTTGTGATTAAACCAATTGGTAACACCCAATAGGGCATGTCTCTATTCAAATCATGTTTTTTGACCCATGCTCCCAATCTTATTTCATAACGATAAGCAATATTTGAACTAGGTACAAATACATTCGAGTTTAAATTTGTTTAGTATTCTATTCCCCTTAAAAAAAGTTATGTTACTGAATCATAACAAAATTATACTGAAAATTTAATCATACTACAATATGAATGTTAACATCGAATAAGTTGACTATATTTAGGCCACATAAAATATATGAATTGGTTCTCATAACCCGGCCGGATCAAAGTTTAAAAACTTTCAAAAAATTTTTTTATATGTTTTACAGCTGTTTTCATTCTGACTGGGACAGCTGACGAATAAATATTTACCGATTTGATAAATTAGTGGTTTCGGTAATGATCCATATATCTGATATTGATACATAATATCAGCTAAAGGTTCTTTAGTCGTTTTTTGTCTGATTCACGTTCATGCTGGTTTTCTTTTCGATCTGTATTTTGTAATAATTATTGCATTATATATAATAAAATAAATTTTACTCTGATTTAGTTGATTATAATCCTCAATGCAGCTTCGAAATATTAATAAAATTTGGGTTGTTTGGAATTACATAACTTGTTATATTTTTTTAATCCAATCAACGTATTCTTGATCATATCGAACTTTTTTATTAGCGTCTACTCTTGTAATACAGTATAATGTATTTATCAGAAGGTTAAAATTTTGAAATCAAAAATAATTAATTTATGAAATATGTAAACTTTTTCAGTAAAAGCATCATTGAATAAATAGCTTACACTTATTATAAAATAGAATTTATAGATCGTTTATTCTTGAAACAAATACATCTCTTACAGTATTTCTTTGTCTGATTTTTAATTATGAAAGCTTATATTCGGATCCTTTTTTATGTTTTCTGTTAAGATTTATTGTTGGCAAGATTAAACACACCAAATATGCATTCAAGTGAAAACTTAATGTTGAATACTGTATGAAACTTATCGAATCGGCAAATATTTATTCGGTCAAAATTTTAATCAGCTGTCCCAGTTAGAACGATAATAATCGGGTGGATTTCTTATAAAAAATTTTTTTTTGTATATGAAATTTGAAAAAAAAAGCCGGCCGGCCGGCCAGTCAGATTTAAAATTTCATGTTATGAGAACCAAGTAATTAACTTTGTATGACCTTATATAAATTCTTTCAATTATTATTAATTTCAAATTTATGCAATTGAATTGATATATTATTCCCAATAAAATGTATTTTTATTTCTTCCACCCAAGTTTAACTATTTGCCAATTTGTTTAAAACTATTTTCTTTGCTGAGTAAGTTTGGATAACTAGGAAATAAAAATATTTGCCTATGTAAAAATAATATTATATAAAACATATTATTTTTCTTTTTAATACGTAGTAAACTTTAGTCGTATATGCCAAATAGACTCAATTATTTATTTGTTATTAAAAATAAATCCGTTATTGAATGTTTCGCACCAATAATAGTCGCATCTGACTTTGAATTTAATGTGCTTGACAACCTGAGCTCCTTCGGAGTCTAGGTTAGCACATTAAATTCAAAGTCAGATGCTTTTTTTATCCTGTGATCCGTAGGATCACAGTATGATTTTTTCACCTGCCAAATAAAACTGTTATTGAATGCTACACATCCAATAACTATTTAGTATTTCCTAAACTATAAGCTTTATACTTGTATTGGTTTACAATGTTAAAAGTTCTGTAACATATTTATTGTCTACGTCACAGATACAATGTAATAGATGTACATATTAATTCAGTGCCTCAATGCGTTAACGTTGATATTGTTTTACATATAAGTCAAAAATTTATATTATTACTGTGTTACTAGAATAATATAAATTAATAAGACAAGGTAGAGAGATTTCGTTTATTCAGGCTGGGCCCCACTTAATTATATAATTTTTTTTTTTTCGTTATTAATCATAGAATTAAAATAGAAAGCTTTTTTTAAAAATGCCTCTTAAAACTAATAAAACTACGTCGCCTGGTGCGTTATCATCTAGTTTTGCATTGCCTTCACCAAGTTTACAAGTGGAAGATGGATTCAGATATAGATCGAGTGGATCACCTACATATAATATTCAGAATTTGTCTTTAGAAAATACTGGTAAGCTTGACAATATTTATTGATAGACATTATTACTACTATCTCTTTATATTTGTAGTTACAATTGACAATATTTTTAATAACAATATATTTAATTTAATGCACAGACTTTTCTGAGAAGTATCCACCAAATCCACTACAATCGCCAACCAACATTCAACCCTATGTTGGCTTATATGGTCGATTATCTCTCGCATGGATAACATATCCTATAATAGCACTATTCTTTATAATTTTTCGTCTCAGTGTAGCAATGGGTTCTATACAACCTTTAGTTGATAAAGTTATAGAAAGAGCAGTAATGACTAAAGGAATCGATAGAGTAAAAAGTATTCTAGGCCAAGAAGTCAATTACATAGTAGTAGCAAATAATGAATTAAGAGTACAGGGAGACAAATCAGATATAGAAATGATACACCAA